CAAAAGTCCTGCATAACTCCTGATTATACCCCCAACCATCATCATAACGCCCCCCACCCCCAGTCCAATCCAGCAAAAGCACAGAGAGGATCCGATATTCCCCTAACGAGCCCAGGATATGAATCCTGTCGGCTCCAACTTCTTCCGAGGGCAAGTCGAGTTGACCCAGTCATGCAGTGAGCCAGTGACTCAAACACGAAGTACGCAATCCCCCTACTATATTACACCCCATTATTTACCATTTTGACGTTTTCTTCAATATAGCAAACAAATATCGCCACTAGACTAAGACTGCGGAGCGGCACCGGAGTCGGAATCGGAAGAATATGGTCTGCTTCACATAATCTGTTTACTACTGTACTAGATTACTAGATAGTCCGGGGATATTCCGCGTTTAGGCTACCGTGTGGATGCCTGGGAGGGTCAAGTATTAGCCTCTCCAGTTTCTAATTGCTTGATCAAGATGTTTTTTCAGTGGAGGTGGTTACCTAACTACGTTGCATCTAGCGTAACGGCTTCAGTATGGTCTCCATTCTAGACTCTTATGGGTTGTACAGGTGAGGCTATACTGATAGTCATAGTAGGTACTAGTATATCTGCACCTGCGATTACTTACCTGAAGTAGAAAGTGTTGAACATCGTTATTACCGGTTAATATTATTTTTCTGCTACTAGCCGCAGGGCGGGATATACGATACGAAGGCTGCATCTGCCTGGTGTGGTAAATCGATCCCATCCACCCGTTCGCTGTGGAGATCGATCACAACAGTCGCCGATTGTTGCCTCTATGACGAATCCTTATCCTCCGATATCCGCTGCATGTCTGCCCAGAAAGCTTCTATAATCCTTTGCTCCAATGCGGATGTGATCGACAGGGAGGGAAGAGGGGTGGTGGACAGGAACCAGATACGTGCCGTGTCTAGCTAGGGGTGTGGTGATGTCTGTGGGTATATCTCTTTTTGTTATCGTGCGACATACCATTCTCTGTGAGTGATTGTCTGTTTTTCGCCACTTGAATATTCACATTTGCAGGTGGAGTATAGGGCGGCAGGGCTACATGTTACAGCTGGGGAAGGGAAAACGGGTATTCCTCTCTCGATAGATAACTTAACTCTTTGTGATGGAGGGAATGATAGTTGATCCATTTGACCGAAAGACCTCAAGGACATTGAAGACTCCATCGGGAGTAATCAATACAATTCATTGGTATGCCCACATCTTCTTCTTACAAACTCATCATACTGTCTGACAAACTATCCGCCTCGTGAACTAACTCCCCATTGAAATGATTTAGTATAATCTTTCTAACTTAAGTTAGAATACTCACTATGGCATCTGGATCATTATAGATGCTCATATTGCCCCTCATACCGGGACCGGTGAAGGCAATACATCTCTGCAATACCAATGCCCAATGTCTGTAGCGTAATTGTTGCTTATAAACCTGCTAATCATCGCCTGGGTGCATGATCGTTGTCTCAATAGGATATAACGCAAGCTGTTTAGATTAGTATATTTTCTTCTGACTTAAGTTATGACTTATACATGTTGATTTCTTGAGTTCCTCGTCTCGCCACTGATTTTTGTGTTTCATGGTATTTCACAGATCATTAAGGAATTCCGCAGCAGCACTAGTCTTTTCAGTATCATACTTTCCAGCAAAAGGACTTGTTACTCCTTCTGCCAATGTATATTCTATTAAGATTACTCTTGATCTCATCGCTCCATCTGAATATCTTTAAGGCAGTCTCTTGTTGCTCCGGAAATATCCACATCAGTGAGTACTAGTACCACACAATAACATGTTGTAACGCTTTTACCAGAGGTTCTTGAACTTTTTTCACCTGGTTTAATACTACCATGTAGGACATATCTATTCATTCATAGTGTGTATTAATATCACACTGTCTTGTCAGACTTTCTTATAACAAGCCACTGCAGGCAAACAGGCAGATCACACTTGCTGGAAGGCTACTTGCTTCCTTTTAAGAACTATGGTCGCCATGCACCTTCCAAGATATACTCATTTCATCTAGTAAAGAGGAAGCTCTGCAAGGCCGAGTACTCCAAGTTCTTTTGTTTTGCCCAGATCTTTGTGATAATAACTACCTTATTGAGCAGGTCCATCGATGGAAGTAGATATTTGCCTAGCTCTGGGAGGGTTCCCTTTCTGGTCGCATCTGGGTAAAAGTTGAACTCGAGAGTTTAAACCAGCTCATTCTTGTTCCAGAGAAGTGATACACGTTCGTGATGCCTGTGCATTGTAGAACGTGACAGTACCTTGCTCAAGGTCTAAGTGTATATACCGGCAACAGGCAATCCAACCACATGCTGAGCATGGTTTGATTCGTGAATAAGAGCTATAGGGTAAATAAAATGCCACCGCACTTAAGCTGGTATCCCTGGAAGCTCAGCTTTCGCCTTCTGGAATGTCAAAATTATATATCGCAGCCTTTGAGGGGAGAAAAGAACGCCACCCCATGCCCTCATATAACGATATTCAGCTGGAACAGACAGCGTATTCCAGTTTAATCTATGCCGACGATGTGATAGACATGTGACTTGTCGTGTAGATCTCATTCGCGTATTGTGATGTTCTCAATATCCATGGATAGAGTGAGTCCGCTACTCTTTCTCCGGAGTCGCACAGGGAAATTATTGTTTCTTCGTCGCCGCATTAGGCTCTCAGCTAGGATGTCTTTGCGTAACCCTGTAGTTGGCATCTATTTGGTTCGATTCTTGCCTTCGGCATTCCTTGTAGTATTCTCGCTATTTTTCTTGTATCGTTCCAGCTTTGGGTGGTCTTTCGGGTTGGTTACTAGACTTATGCTTTTCCTTTGCCATCACGATAGGTTTCATATGATCATAACCGAAACACCTTCAAGGTCGTTCTCCATGATCCTCTTCTTCGTTCTTTGGTGATCTGCCAATAATATGCACGATGTGTCATGCTTGATGTTTTATTTGTGGTCAAGAAGACTGTTCCACTTGAACAAGTAACTCCGCGAAGACTAACTACCCAGCCAAACAACGCACAAGCATACAGGGAGGTCGTATATGACGCCGCACATGCATAGCACGTCAAGCCAGCTCTACGCAATGGAGCCAACGACTGCTCGACGACAACAATCAGCATTCCCAGGCACTGCTCAAGGAAGATCGATATAGTTCCTCCCTCCCGAGGGTATCTTCCTTTTCGTAGATTTATCGTTTGGGACTGTTTAACGCCAGCGCAGCTGCCGCTTCGTGCTCATAGACAAGGGAGTCATGCATGGCAACGGCATACTTTGTAATGTTTAGAAAGGTATTCCGCATTACATATGCGGTGAAGCGGCGCCTCCTGGCCCTTCTGGATAAACACCTTGTTAGTAGCCGTCGGATATGTGTCTGATAAAGAAGATGATCTAAATACATACAGTAAACCGGGTGAAGAAGATGTTGTGTTTGAGACCTTTCTCTTAAAGAAGATGCCCGTAGCACATTGAGTACTAATTCTGCATGGGATATTATGATTCACGAATATAGTCCCATAAAACCAGTTATCATGTAAAAGGCAGTATCAGTCTTTGATATAAGATCTTTGAGCTCAGAGACAGCAGCTTCAATCTTAGTATTATGCCTCTTGGTTAATTCTTTATCAGGTATAAATCTTTTCTGTTGTTCTGTATCGTGGAGTTCAGATATATTTTTTAACATCTGTCTAGTATTATCCCACGTTTCAGTCTTTATGCGACAGGCTTCTTGGTGGTCATATTCTAGTACTTGCAATCTTGCCAGTGCTTTTCATAACTTTTTCTTTCGTAGTCTCTGACCTTCTGTGAGTTCTCTTATCGGGGGTAGAACCCCCTTCGGGATGATCACGCCTGCATCCTCCAAGGCATCGATGATTTATAACCTCAGTTAATATCAGAATCTATCAATAAGATGGGTCTGCTTTTATTTCTTCATCATGCGACGCCAATGCTCTTGTTCAACGGCAGGTCGAGGCCATCACCAAGGGCATAAAACTGGAGTTCCCGTTTGCTATGAAGAACACCAATGCTTGTGTTGGTAATATTTGGTGGTTCATAAGAATTTTGGCATGGTCACTATCTTCGCATAGAATGATGTAACATGGCTCTTAAGTGAACCAGATCTTCGTGTCCGTAGAACTGGGAAGCGGCATCGTGTGTTGATATCATGTTCGAGTGTTTTCGAATATCCCGTGAGAGAGCCTTGGCTAAGGCTAAGGTTATGCTTGTGAATTGCATTTATAAGGGACCCATGACCAAGATGAATAGGTAGATGATGTATATCCTGTTTTTCCTCTATGTTGAGAAGCTGGTAATTGCTAATGATGAGCAATCGACCCAAGAGTGGGTGTCGATGTAGCTTATTACTTTAACAAGCTGGCTATCTCTTGCAGAAAGTATAAGAGTAGAAGAGTACCAGCGTACCCTCCACGGACCCTGTACGAAGCTTTCCGGAATTGTGTCGCCCAGTCGTAAATGGAACTGTTCAGATGTATTGGTTCTTTTCAAACTTGCCGCACAACGATAAGATGTGCTTGCTGTATGCTATGTCTCATAACATATAAGAATGCTGGATTGTGTCCATTCAGTATGCGCCATCAACGGGAGCCAGTCACGTCTCGAAGTTTCCCGATTCCAGCTGTATCCGATATCATTTCAGCCTGGGTAAGATGCAGCCACCGGAGCTACTCATGGTGGAGAGTAGGTTTATCCGTCTAGCAAGTAGGTGGCATCCGAAGAGTTATAGATGACCACCGTTATGCGAAGTTGAACCCAGGTGTGTCAGACCAGGGTGGGTCATTCTAGCTTTCCTGTTCACGGCTGTTTGCATTTACCTGCGCACCTGGCACTGGCCGTCATTATGACAATATGATTTCGGCGTAGATGTTTGCATTTTTACGCCGAGAACCTGAGCCCTGATTCCCGAAACTGGCAGTTCGCAGTTATCACGTAGAAGAAGTATCTTACCATGGTTTTCATTTTCTATAATTAAACCGGAATCGTGAACGGTGGTTTTCCCCTTCCTTTGCCAGAAACTGGCTCAGGGGGGCTTCGCCTCATTGCTGGCCTGGTGCCACTGATGCTGAAAAGACCGGCGGGATCTGATTGTGGTGGATGCGGATGGTTCTTAGGCCAGATCTCGAAGCGACAGACGGGTCCCTGGGACTTGAGCAGCATGTACCGAAGGCGATTTGGCGTGTTAATCAGTGTGGCGGTCGGCGGCTGATCGTCCCGCATATACACATCTTATATCAAGCTATTGTATTCACAATCCGACTTTAAAAAATCTAACCAGGCAGAGTAGGCGATATTGGCGGGCCGGATCGGCTGTCTGGGTTCAGAAGCCCTGTTTGAGTAACAAACAACATCGGTCTAACCGGCACGATAGACTTCAATCTCGACAATCGGTAGAGAGTAAGAGAGAGGCTCGTAACTTGAGCTTGGGATTGCTGGCACAGTGGGTTTGATACCGGTATGTTCGCGATGGCCGGTCACTCCACCCATTATAGTAGCCTTGTCTGATGGGCGTTACTGCCTCTGGATGTACATTGACATGCTCAACCAAGTGTAGGTCAACCCTTCATATGACAGAAGACAGCAGAACCCACTAGACCACATTCCCTGGACATCTGGTAAACCGCAATAGTTGAAGCAGCTTGTATGGCTTTTGCCCGAGCTGGTATAAAACACGACGATTTGTCTCGAAGTATATGATTGATCACGGAGAACGACGCTGGATTATCTGGTAGTCTTTCGAAGACCACAAGAAATGCGTAGCTCTTCCACCCACATGGTAGTAAAGTCTCTGAAGCATAAATTGAGCTCATATCGAACCAACCTAGCCTAACTATATGAACTAGTACTGCCAGCCCGATGAAGGAAGTTATCGACTCTGGGTTGATTTCTCCTTCCATATGTCCAAGCATTCTCTCATTGTACATCTCGACATCCGCAACCAGACGCCCGGTTACGGATATCATTGACACTCCACAGAATACGTTGATAGGTACCCAAACTTCTTTTGTGACGTTTAGATGAGTGTAGTCTTTTGCATCTTGCCAGATTTTGCTGTGAAGGTGTTATCTCATGGTCAGTGAGTCTCGGGGGTATCACCATCCCGTGGGTACATCGTTCTGATGGACCATGAACGATGCACGCCTTTCTGATCGAAACCAGCGGCTCCTGTCCAAAGCGTAATATACATATGATAAAAGCTTCTTCCGTGCGGTGGTCCATGTGCGTTTAATTCCCAGTTGCACAAGAGTCCTAGCAGTACTCAGCAACCCGAGCCACAGACACAGATGCCGGAATTTCATCATGGTTGTTATAACTCTGCAGGCTCCTGCATGCCTCATCTTCGTTGTTAAATTGGTAACCATTCCTTGTCATTTGCGATTTATATATAATCTTCGACTGTTGGCTGGATTGAAATCGGAACATGCTTTCTTTGACAAAGCTCCATTGGAGATATTCAGGTGCGTGGTACATGCTTCAGTCGAAGACATTGTTGTGTGTTATCTTCGATTGGAAGGAATATCTGAACGGTAATAGCCGCGACAAACATGGCATTTGACAGCTTCCAAAGTCTGGTAGTGCGCCTCTTTCTGGCTTTCCACACCACAATGTGCGTAAAGTGCTCTGTAGTTCGCGGTGTGGTGCTATATACGATATTGATGGTCATGGAAATATCCGCGCTAGTATCGGTATTTATCTATATGGTACTTTCTATTAGCGACTTCTCAGCATACCATGAATGAAATGATGTACTTGATGAAATCACCAGCATACAGGCATGATTTAGTAGAGAACAGCGACTTTGCGCTTCCCAGATATACCGCTATGACATCTGGCTCGACGAGGAGCACATATCCTTCTGCCCATGGAGCTTATATTTGATGGTCAGGATATGTATTTTTCTCTGCCGAGCTCGGATTATGTCCAGCGTAGTAGAGTAAAGCTGTACCGAGTGCGTAGACAATATGGCGAGAATTCTGGACAGATTCTCTGGCCAAGACGGTTTCCACAAGGCACGCAACGAAAGGTATATAGTTGATGAGTCAAGTAATGATGCTTGAGTGGGTTATTGTGCATATTTATCAGTAGTAGGTATATATAGAAAATGGAATCCTGGATGGTGGATTGGGAAGAAGGACAGGATGGGGTGGAGGAAAGTCGGATTTATATAGGGTCTGTTTCTACTGGGGTGAATTAGTTGAGGTAATGAGTATAGCGACACGATGTTAATTATCTGTGGTTGAATGAGGATTGGGCTTGAATTGGTGTCTTGGCAGGGACGAATGGGAGGGTTCAGGGGTGAATTGATCAGATCTATACGTGCACTAGGAAGATGAATAGTTAGGCTTCATAGGTTCAAGAGTATCAGTATCTTGGCAGATACTTCATCGTTGGCTGTGAAGGTGGGAAGCATTTCCATGCCAATTGACCAAATCATACATAAATAGAATCCATTAGAAAAGGAAATATTAAAGAGTGTAGTCTATCGCTAAACCGTAGTTCGGACGAAGTCATTAACCGAACACCATACCGCCATAAAACACAAAGCCGCCCACCCAGGGTATACAATCATTAGTGAAAACTGCTGTGATGGTGGCTTTCATGACTATCACCATCGGCCACCATCTCTATCGTCTGTGACACATCCACCGTCTTGTGAATGCCTCCCGCCTCATTACCTGCCATGTCGACCGTCCCTGCAAATGTAATCAGATGTGACTGGTCGGAGGCGGACTCGGTGCCATCGGCGCGGCGGGAGTTACCGAGTGAGAATCGCTTGTTGCTTCCTTTGAGTTTGCTAAGGTTGACAGAGGACTCTGGTTCGTAATAACGTTGAGAGCTGTACTCCTTCTTGCGGAGCTTGTTGATGAGGATGTTGATCGTGGGGAGACAAGCGCAAATCATGGCCACGCCTCCTTCGGCGTTTCTAGTTTGGGGTTAGTCTGCAGCATCGATTATTCTAGAATAATGACTTACCCTGAGAGAATAACGATTGTAAAGACAATAGTCTGATCCCTGGAGCTACCATCACGCAAGACCAGAACCAGCCGGTACAAACTGAAGGCCGTGGCCAGACCACCCGCCGACAGCATGCCGATGACCCGCAACTTCTTGCTCCGTGACATCTGAAGCGACCAGGTGAGTGGCAGAGGTAGAATCAGGATAATAAAGTCGGTCACCACACTGATGACAGAATCGGCGATCAGGGCGGCCCGTTGATTGAGACAGCGTGCCTTTGGATCGAGCGTCCAGTATCCCGGAACCGGGTCGCACATGCGAATCTTGACGACCTCGGCAACGATGTAGTATATGCAGAGACAGCCGAGGAGGCCGTAGATGAAGTAGATTTTGGAACGGTAAGGACTGAAGATGCGAATGAGGATAGAAAGGAGTGCGATCTTGACGAAGAGTGCCATGGGGCAGTAAAGAACGGTGGCGATGTAACAGAACTAATTTGATCCTCAATTAGCCGATGAACTTCAAGTCCTTCTGATAGCCGGGCGTTCATACCTTGCGAAAAAGAGTCTGGTGTGCTTCAGAGACATCGTCAATGTGGTAACCCCCGCCATAGTGACCCACTGGAGCCAAGTTAGTTGGAGCTGCTGGAGAGATAAGAACGATGCATACCGGCAATGGCAATGCCACAGTATCCCATGAACAGAACCTGCAATAGTCAGTGAGTCGCCCTATGGAGGCACCTGCAGTCCCAACGTACCCATGCTATGAGACATGACCCTGGGAAAGTTAGCAATGATTTTTTGAAGAGAAGTCAAGCAAACGTACAGTCTTCCACACCTACGAACTGTTTGTAGTAGATACGGATGGAAAAACGCAAGATAACAAATACGCTAATGATCGGAATACACAAACATTGTGTGACGAAATTTATGGTGTTCAAAACATCCTTGGGATGACTGACAGTCATGGCGTGCCAGTGGTCAATGCAGCCTCTTCAAACAGGAAGAAACAACATGGAGCAAGACACTGGCCCCGACGACCGCGGGGAGGCCACAAACATTTATAAATAGGTTCAAATTGCAGGCGCTTGGTCTGTCCATGCGCACAGCGTCGTCGCCCGGGGTCAAGCTGGCGCTGCGCCGTCTATGATAGGCCCATGAAGCCGCCTAGGGAGGCCCTCAACTTTGGGTCGGAAACTGGGAGGACAATCCGAGAAATGACTTCAATGGCACCGGGTCACGATCGTCCCGCCCAGGTGTAGATAGGAAAACCTTAAAGGAGGGATACAGCAGCTCCCCGATGCAGTTGGACTGGGAAGCGACCATGGAGTATCCGAGCGGATCGATCGTGATAGGCCCCGGAGGTCATAACGTCTACCTGTTTTGGGAATGATGGACAGGGAGAAGCAAAGATGCACCTTGCATGGATCGTCGTGGTTGCTTGCCACTGGGGCGTCGCACGCGATCGTGGTCTAGTCTAGATATGTATCGTGCTATGTAAATACACTCAGTGGTGCTGCGGCGGCGGCGTCCATGGACCATGGTTCTGAAAAGTTGACACCCGTAGGCGGATCCTTAGCTAAGAGTGTCTCATTTCGACGCCGAAACTGGGGTTCGAGAGGGCGCCCCTCTGCGATGCCAATATTTTTTCATAATTACTATTGGATAATCGATTCTCAAATCTCTCCTCTCCTCCGAACTAGCCGCGGAGACATGGCTGCAGGGCGTCGGAAATATCTCGAACGAACAATGGAGATAATCAGGAGTAATAACCATCCCCGATTATTGCTTCCTCCCCGGGCGCTCGTTCCAATAGCTCCTCGCGCTACCTATGCGCCAGATCCTGGCTGCATATAGGCTGTGGCGACGACGCACTATCTGTCATGGTGCTGCAGAAGAACCCGCCAAAGTCCCGACTGAGGGATTAGTGATCGTCGGTGTCCGAGCCAAACCACAATAGAGTATCCGGCATAAAGGAGAACGCTGGAAAGTGGGTTTGAAACCAGCGTCTGTGAAAGCCCGTGATGCGGCGGCCTCCGGCAAACTGTCATGGAGCCAGTCAACAATGGCAGAATCGATCCCTTTTTCACAAGCTTGCCCGGTTAATTGTTGGCCTTAACGGGGGTTCTTCTTCCGGAAGACCGACTTGCGACACCGACCCGTAGTTTAGCGTGTGCCCTAAAGCCTCTAAAGTCTCTAACGTAAACGCCAAGCGCCGCGAAGAAGAATTTTGACTTTCGCTTGCTGTGTGTCGAGTGGAGCGTCGGATGGCTTCCATCCCTATTATTTCCTGGTGAATATGATGGCTCACATTTACCTCGCACTGTTCCCCCGTGTGATCTGAAATGAAGAATTGCCCCCCAGGTTGTGTTACTTTTGACGAAGGTGGCTGCTATTGAAACTCTCCTGGGCTTCTAGAAGACGCCTTTCTGCGCCCGATCAGCAAGGCTGCATAAGGCTTAAGTCCCACGCGGTTTGCCACGCGCTGCATGTGTATAAGGGGTCAACAGGGAAAAAGGAACCCGAGGACAGACAGATGACTAAACTGGAGTCGGGTGCAATCTGTGGTTCTGTGTAGGCTTCGTGGATACGCCTCCACTTCCCAAGGTTCAGCCCGTCCCACCATCCAATTTTCTCGTGTCCTCGACACTCTGGATGGGTTCCAGTAACCTGCGAGGCTCCATCTGTCACCCTCATTTGGCAATGGGTCTGCTGCTCTCCGTTCCAGTCCACTGAGAAGGGAGAGAAGGCAATGAAGCGAACAATAGTGAGGAGTAGCTTTCAAGGTGAACGCTGGTTTGCTGTCGCACCACGGCCCGTGTCAACCCAGAAACTTCCTCCCCAATTGTCCACTTGTGGCTCCCTCGTTTGTCTTTACCTTCCCAGGTAGCTTTCCCAGATATTGCATCTTTACGAGAATTCTCACAATGACCATTGCCCAGGCCCAAGGAGCGGATTCTAAGCTCTTTCAGCCGCTCGCCATTGCCAATGGCAAGCTCACTCTGAGCCACCGGGTGGTACACGCCCCCCTGACACGCAACCGGGGCGAACCGTTGAACTCAAACAGTACTCCCGAGAATCCCAATCGGATCTGGTACCCTGGGGACCTGGTCGTCGAATATTATCGTCAACGGGCAACTCCAGGCGGGCTGATCATCTCGGAAGGCATCCCTCCATCGCTGGAGGTAAATACTCCCCAAAATCCAGCTCCGATGGGTCATTCGTCTGTTCTTTAACACGCAAGCAGAGCAATGGAATGCCAGGAGTCCCCGGTCTTTTCACGGAAGAGCAGGCCGCTGGATGGAAGCGAGTCGTTGATACTGTCCACGCCCAGGGCGGCTACATCTATTGCCAGCTGTGGCACGCCGGCCGTGCTACCGTCCCCCAGATGACCGGCTTACCCCCAGTTTCAGCCTCCGCCAGCGTTTGGGACGACCCCGAAGAGCGCTACACCCACCCCGCCGTGGGAGCGTCGGAGCCGGTTCGCTATGCAGACCACCCTCCGATTGAATTGACGGTCGCGCACATCAAGCAAACCATCCAGGACTATTGTAAAGCCGCCAAGACTGCCATGGACATTGGCTTCGATGGCGTTGAACTACACACCGGTAATGGTTATCTCCCGGAGCAGTTCTTGAGCTCAAACATCAACCGACGGACAGACGACTACGGCGGATCTCCAGAGAAGCGCTGCCGCTTCGTACTGGAGTTGATGAACGAACTGGCTCAGACGGTTGGCCAGGAGAATCTGGCGATTCGACTCACGCCGTTTGGACTGTACAACCAGGCACGTGGTGAACAGCGCGTGGAAACCTGGACTTATCTGTGCGAGTCGCTGAAACAGGCGCACCCCGGTCTATCATACGTCAGCTTTGTGGAGCCGGTAAGCATTATCTCATAGCCGATTGAGTCCCACTTACTAATGTGTTCAGCGCTACGAGCAAATTCACAGTTACGAAGAAAAGGATGCCTTCCTCCGCAGCTGGGGCCTTCCGAGTGTCGACCTCTCCTCCTTCCGCAAGATCTTCGGCTCGACCCCCTTCTTTTCGGCTGGCGGCTGGGACCAGACCAATTCTTGGGGCGTCCTGGAGGCCGGGAAGTACGATGGTCTCCTCTATGGACGGTACTTCACGAGCAACCCGGACTTGGTGGAGAGACTGCGCAGGGGCATTCCCTTTGCACCTTATGATCGCACTCGGTTCTATGGACCCTTTGAGGATAACGCATTCCACTATGTGGACTACGAGCCTGCTCCGCAGAGCTCAGCCGGATGGGATTCCACAAAGGTCCAGGTCCGACTATGATTGATGATTTGTATATACACATGACTGCGATGCTGGTTTAGTTCAATTTAGTTGCGCTTAATCCCTCCGTTGAGAAGACCGATCGGCGATGGTATTGATCCAGTGCTGTACGTAGGTAGATCAAGAAGCCTCAGTGCTCAAAGCGCTCAAGCCGTGTAACCGCCATCGACGACCAAGGCGGAGCCTACCATGTAGCTGCTCATCGGGGAGGCCAGAAACAGGAGTGCGTCGGCGATCTCCTCCGGTTGTGCCCTACGGCCAATAGCGACTCGCTGCGCGTCTGGCTCCATGAATCCCGCATCCCAATACGTGCGGATCAAATCAGTGTCCGTGTATCTGGATCGTTAGCTAGCGGATATTATACTGGCCTACGGGGCACTTACCCAGGACAGATAGCGTTGATGCGTATCTCTTGTTGAATGTACGCTTTGGCGTCCTAAACCGGTTTAGTCTGACAATCTGGGGGTGATTATCATGAACAACAGACCATTTTTGAGAAAGCAACCACAGCTGCAACCATTAGCTATCTAGGTACACTCATCCACCAATCCCAGGCATCCACTTACCATGCTTGGAAGCTGTATAGGCCGACAGTCCTGACCAACCCCCCGGAGCCACTACCCCAAACATAGAAGCCATATTCACGATCGTCCCCCGACCGAGACGCAAACCGCGCGATCTGCAAGACGCTTAGCCGGCCGTCTTCCCCTCAAGTGGACCAGTAAAACATACTCCTGTGTCAGCATCTGGCGTATCACAGCCTTTTGGCAGAGCAACACCCCGGTCTGGTTAATATCGATCACCCTCTGCCATTCTGCTGCCGTCAGCTCATGGGTCGCGCTCGGTTGCCCCACAATCCCGGCGCAGTGAACCGAGATATCAATGCGACCGAATCGCTCGACAGTGCGGCACACGGCTTCATCCACGCATGCCTCCTTGGAGACGTCTCCAACCGTAATTTCCACTGCAACATTGGGATGTGAGGTAGCGAGCTCGTTTTTAGTGCGTTGGAGGAGTGCCTCGTTCACATCCAAGAGAGATAGTGCTTCGATTCCATTCTGGGCAAGCGTGAAGGCGGTGGTCTTACCAATGCCTGAGGCAGCTTAGCACGGTTTCCCGATCGGGCTAGGTTGGTTCCTACCATTTCCACCTCCCGTGATAAACGCCGTTCCCGATACCTTGCAAGCCATGATGAACAGTTATAGTGGTTAACACTCTCTGCCGACTGGGTTGTCGAAGAAGTCAGAACACCAGCTGGCTGGTGAGTGATGGACGACGTCCATATATCTAGTTGCTGGCCACTAGCCACCACCCCTGTCAGGATTCGAGCGGGGTCAAGGCATTATTGTCTGTCTGACTGACTGCCTCGGTTATTCAACCAAGTACTAGTATATGTTGCTACTAGAAATTGCAGGTGTCTCTTTGTCTTCCTTCATGTCGTTCTCGTTGGCGTGTATGCACCTCTCTTCACCCCTGGTTGACTGTAGTCTTCCTCTTGATACATTGCCATGTGCTACTAGTATGACAACTAGCGTCTTTCACCCTTTTCCCATGGCTGGTATTGGGTAATATTCTGGTTAATTCTCAAGGTGGCTGGCGATAGTTACACTAGTCAACTTTCTTAGCATGTCAGCTTATGCATACCTCGAATGTGGTCATTGTTCTTCACGTCAGACTTACCAGTCCGCTTAAATGATAAAGGATCTGGGGATCTCAAAGCTCATTGTTTCCGCATGTGAGGGAAGGTGCATGAGAAAGCTATGCCAGCCGATCATTGGTGGAAAAAGCAGATTATATTTCATGCATACATCATAATCATAGAATAATCCATTAACAATCATATCCGAAGCCAATCAACAGAACATACTCAACAAAAACAATACAGGTATCATATCACAGAGTCATATCCAACAAACAGCCCATACAACACGTATAACACCTATAAGCCCCTAACAAACATTAGCACGCCCATTCATACACCAAGATACTGATCCCCAAAAACATAGAACTCACATCAAGCCCGATTAGATCCTAACTAAACCACCTCCGATCCCGGATGCTGCTGCTGCACCGGATACACCACCGGCTCCGGCTTCTTCATCATCGTCTCAGAATATCCATACTCCCCTTCATTCATCGCCACAGGCTGCTGTCCCGCAGCATAAGCCTGATTATAGTATGGCGGGGCCGGCGTGCCCGGCTGCTGCTGCTGCTGCTGTTGTTGTGATTGCATTTGCATATGTGGATACATGTACTGCTGCTGGTACTGTTGCCGGTAGTACTGGGCGCGGAGTTTATCTTCGCGGCGTTCGCGCTTGCGCTCGCGACGGTGCTTGATGAGGAGGTAGATGCCGACGCAGATGGCAATGATGATGATGATGGGGATAATGATGATTTTTCCGATGATCTTGCCGATACTCATTTTGAGGGGGGATCTGTGTTCTGTCTGGGTTGAGGTGAGAAAGGAGAAGGGGTGGTAAAGATTGTTTGTGTGGGAGATTAGATAGAAGTCGAAGATTGGTATGTAGGTAGTTGATTGTAGTATGTATGAGATCCTTGGAAGCTAGAATAGATACCAGTAGTAGGCAGGTAGTAGCCAAGCAGGCAATGGACAGAACTAGAAAGAATCAGAAACAAATCCAAAAAGCCAAGATCCTCCCCCACAAGCTTATATATCTCTCCGTGTCTAGCAAAGACAGCCTGGACCCTCCAGCCCTACAATAGGTTGGCACGCAGGCAGGCGCGTTAGAAAAATCAATCCTCAGCACGGGGGGTGATGAGCTACACTCCCAAAGGGAGGATGTTGCTGCTGAGCGCTTCATGGAGGATGCTGATTCGGTGGGTAGAACCAGGACGGCAGCGTGAATATGCAGGCCGGTTCACCTCTGTCACACGCAGCCTTACGCGTTAGGTTAGCTCTTGGTGCATCCTTGATAAAAGCTTGGTTGATGAGCGTAAGAGTGATGGTTGGAGGAGAGATGATGATCGGGGTTGGGGAGGGGGCCAATCATGGTGGCGGGTTTGGCGCCGCGGGTGACAGTCGCGCATCAGCCTGGTGTCTGTCAAATCCTGGTAGGGCTGGAGGGGAGGGGAAATGGTTGAGTGTAAAATGCTGCATAGATTTGCGTGATTTGAATCTATTTTTATCTAAGTTGGCATGAGGGGATTAAAATCGGAGACTATTACTAGTGATGGGTTAAAGAGGGTGGTACTACTACTGGTGATGGATGCGAACCGTCGTCGAAATATACAATGACGAACCCCCACAACTGGATGAACAGTAAAAAAAGGACAAAAGCACACAACCGTCACTACTTAGTACTGCGTACTTAGTCGACCATATGTGGTTAAGGAGATGCTCAAATAGATTTCCTTTACCGCCATGTCCCTATCTAATAGTAGTATAATCCCCTCCCCAAGACTCCTTTGCTATTCCATGCTGTTACTAGTAGGATACACCCGCACGGTCGCTCGGGCCTAGCTGACCCTTACACTAACAGCAAAGCGGAAAAGGTCTCTTACCATCACAGAAATCTTAATCTTATCTCAGCTAGTTTTCCCCTTAAAGGGCTTCGGTTAGACCAAAATGAATCGAAGTTCTCCTGAATTAGGGGTCCTCGCTACGATTATTGATTGACCTGATTGAGCCGATCCCGAGGTTTCCGGGTTCGCCGCGGAGTCCGCGGAGAGCACGGCGGGCGCGGGTTTCACGGAAACGAATAAGGTATACAAAATGAACAGCAATGAAGGACTGATAAAAATCCGCGATCGCCCGATCTGTGAAGTACTATCAATCTGTATACAAGGAGAAGGATGTCTGCTATGAGCACGGCTACAAGGTAAGACAATTGCCTACCTAGACACGCCACGCACAGAACACTGAATTCACTTAGCCACCAACCCAGCATGAAGCAATCTACGAATCCGAGCCCGGAGAAGTCTTCCAGCGCCCACGAGGATGAAAAACCGACATTCGAGTTCGGAGGTGCGCCGGGGGTAACCTTGCTGATGCTTGGATTCCCCCTCCTTATGTATTACATGTTCATAGGCGCGACCCTGTACGACGGCCACCTCCCCTTACCCGAAGCGAACCAATCAATTACCGATTTCCTCTTCCACCTCGTTGACCTCGCCCATACACATGCCTATCCCCACCGCAAGGCATGGATAATATACTGGACCTTCCTTGTCCTCGAAGGACTCGGGTACCTGTACCTCCCCGGCGTATACGGCAAGGGAAAATGCCTTCCCCATCTGAATGGAAAGCAGCTGGATTACTACTGCTCCGCGGCAGCGTCGTGGTATGTTACCATCGCTGCTGCATTGGTCCTCCACTTTTCCGGTCTCTTTCGTCTGAGTACGCTCGTCGATGAGTTCGGTCCGTTGATGTCTGTGGCTATCTGCTCTGGCTTTCTGGTCTCGATTCTCGCGTACGCGTCTGCCTTGCTACGAGGTGCTCAGCATCGGATGACGGGATCCCACGTTTATGATTTCTTTATGGGTGCAGAGCTCAACCCTCGCTTGTTCCAGTGGCTTGATATGAAGATGTTCTTCGAGGTTCGCATACCCTGGTATATTCTGTTTTTGTTGACACTTGGGACTGCGTTGAAGCAGTGGGAAGACTACGGGTTCGTCTCTGGGGAAGTTTCATTTCTGCTTTTGGCACACTTCTTGTATGCGAATGCATGTGCTAAAGGGGAAGAACTGATTATCACGAGCTGGTATGTTGCTCAATGCGGTGGCCAAATCAACAATACTGATCTTGTCGCAGGGATATGTATTATGAGAAGTGGGGATTTATGCTCATTTTCTGGAACCTTGCTGGTGTTCCCATGAGTTACTGCCATTGCACTCTATACCTGGCGAGCCACGATCCGTCAACTTATAAGTGGAACCCCATAGCACTGGGCGTGCTATTTGTGATGTATATTTTTGCATACTGGGTATGGGACACGTGCAACAGCCAGAAGAACCTCTTCCGAGCTCAGGAGAGAGGAAAGCCTGTGAATCGAAAGACCTTCCCTCAGCTACCATGGAAATCGGTGAAGAACCCTGTCTGCATAAAGACAAAAACAGGAGATTCCATCCTGTGCAGTGGGTGGTGTAAGTTGTTCATTTTTGTATCGCGAATCAGGGCTGATGAGGTATAGATGGAATGGCACGTAAGGTCCATTACAGCTGTGACTGGTTTTTCGCTTTCTCCTGGGGTCTTATTACTGGCTTTAATTCGCCATTCCCCTGGTTCTACTCGTGCTTCTTTACTGTTATGATCATCCATCGTGCGCTGCGGGATATTGAACGTTGTCGCGAGAGATATGGAGAAGCTTGGCGCGAGTATGAGCGGAGGGTCCCGTACCTGTTCATTCCGGTAAGTCTCATCGAGTTGCTGTTGTGATCAAGCTAACATCAGAAAAGTATGTCTTCTAGGTCATTGGAGTCAAGAGATGGGCCTTTCGGTAGGGCATCTTAGTTTAGTTTGTTTAGGCCAAACCGTGCCTCACTTTTATTGGCTCATTCTGTTGACCTGCGTTTGCCATGCGTCTCCCAGCTATATATAGGAAGGAAAGGGAAATAATATTTTGAATCATTATAAGTCGTCACGCGTCTCGATGTAGTGAGTTGCCTTATTATCCAACATTAGCGAGGTAGGGTACAAGCCGCCATACATGATGTTCTGGAAGAAAGCCTCAAGGCAGGAGTAAAGCAATTGGATGTTGGGTATGCATTTCGCACGCACTGAGTAGAGTGTCCAGACAAATTTCCCATCTACTAGGCGTAATTAAGAGACTGAGAGAGATGGGTTCTCAAATCCACGGTCAACAATTAGCAGTGAGAGGAATGAAAGGTTTATTCATTGGATTGAATCGCTATTAAGGTCGAAACTCAAAATATCCATGACCGATCGGTTAGTGCCAATGAAGCCATTCAGAAACATGGATATGTCTGCTTGGTTCATGGTGGAGTCAAATGTATCTTCTGGCCATGAAACATCTGGCAGGGCAATATTCCCGGGCCCATCAGTTGTTGGAATAACAAGGGATCCATCTTGATGTTGCTCCAACCCGGTTAGTGTCTGTTGTGAGTTCACAAGTATCTGAGCAGCCCGGACAAAAGCGTCACAGATAGTGTATAAATGCATTGACCCTCGTGAAAGGCCTTTGATTAACTCTAGGGAGCTGGCGGTATCCTGTAGCAGAGCAAGATCTGCTGTACTGGCGGTCGTGATGGCGTGGGTAAAGACAATGACGAAGGGTGTGAATGAAGGATAGAGAAGTATCCTGTCCATTTAGTTCACTATGTTAATGCAGATTGAAGGGTGTCTTACCAGTTTACGTATTCTGTTTGCTTATGTGTCTGGCGACCGCGGAAGTAGGTGAAGCACTTCAGATGACTCTGTAAAGCAGCAGTCGCAGATGCATAGCATTGGGAAGAAACTGCCATCACGTCGCGTGGATGGGTCTGTGCACGATAGATGACAGTCAACACAGAGTAAGCTATGAAGTCTGCACAGGCTGCCATCCCATGTAGGGAGTCGGCATAAAGACCCCGACTAACATCAATCTTGTAAAACCGTCAGCCAACTTGACTACCTCAACAGGAAGAAGGCGTACCGCAAGGAGCTTGTCCCGTACTGTCATCAGGTCGGAGGACAGCCGCTCAATCGATGCTGATCGTTGCTCGTCACCTGCTCGACAAGCCGAGGTAGAGTACAGCTGGTCATAAACTCTACCTTGAACATTCGCGAACTCGACGATCACAAGCCCCATTAGGTCCCACGGACGATGCTTGGGATCATTTGAGGGAGTATAAAGGTCTGCATCAATATCGTGATCTTGAAAGTGTGATGTCACGCCAATATTGAGAGAGATATTCTTGTCAATGGTGTAAAGTGCCCAGAACGCATGGCGTTTTGCCTCGGCAATAGCATACTCATCCTTTTCTAAAGTAGAACGTCGGTGTAACCCGATGCTCTGGCACATATTGAATGCCAGCGAAAGGAAGATCCAGCACCGCTGGACGTCGGTTTCCTCTTGTGCTTTCAGAACCTGCATTCGTTAGGATTTGTAGTTCCTGAAGGCAATCAAACATACCCCAAGCAACAGTGCCTGTATCTTCTCCAAAGTTGGTTCAGATATAACCTCAGGCCCGCTCAAGCCAGCGGCAAATTGTCGTTCACAGAGCGCAAGGCTTGATTGAAGATCAAAGTGTGCCAGATCGGGATCTCCCGCATGAAGATAATCGCGGATCACATAGAACAGTATACCATAGAAGAGTGTGAGCGAGCCCGGTGGCACAGGGTTCAACGGGAAATATATTGACTGGCATAGATGTGCCACACGGGTTGAGTCTATCCAAGATTGACTGACCAGGAAGAAGGGTGGTTGAGCTATATTGCGTAAGTGATAGCATCTAAGGGGGGTGGAGATGTATACATTTGACCTTCTTCACCACTGCTATGACCAGATTTACAGGAAGCAATGTCTGGTTTAGTTGCATAGGTGATAGTGCTCCATTTCGATTCACGGCGTGATTGTGCCTATCGAGGCTGCTTTTTAGAGAGGAGAGCGCAGCAGAAACATAATCTCCAATCTGTCCATCACGGGCAGTATTTGCTGCGGAATAAGCTGCGTCCCTGGCTACAAGGGTCTCATGATGAAAAGATGACTGTCCCTCGAAGGGAGGAGCTGTTGGGCCGGTGCCTATTGGGTGAGAAGCCGGCTGTACTGAAGTTGGTGGTTTTGTTATCTGATGGAGTGCTTGCTGAATAGTTGATAATTGTTCTTGGATTACCGAAAACCTTTGCTCACTAACCTCAGTTAGCCCTGCAAGCACTTATAGTCTAGCTTAACCTACTAATCGTCGGACTCGGCTCTGCGTGTCTCCGAAGACGTGACAGGCGTACCTGTTGGACCACAGGGGACTCCAAGAGCGCTGCAGCTGGAACAAGGAACTACTTTATCACACTTGATCTAAAGAGATTTGCATGAACATAGATAGGGTACTGATTTGGTCACAGGGTACGATACCTTCCGAAGCCGACAGTTGTCGCACTAATTGGAGTTAGTACTTGTTATAGATTAGATGGTGGCGGACGAGGAAGCCGTACCGCGCGGGCCCGGAACGAGTTGCGGGCGATGGGAGTTCGGGCAGCCATTGTAGGTAAAGCCGCTAATTATGAACGATAAATCGCATGATATATCGGCACTCCTCTTCTGGGTGATGACAACAGTAGCTGCACCTCAAGACAAAGGTCTGTGAGTAGTAAAGTGTCGAATGACAGGTAAGAGTGCGAGTAAGACCTCCAGTCATCTTGTGAAGGCGCCATTCCCGTTCAGGCTAGATTGAACCCAACTGAGTTTAGCGAGTCTCGTGACGTCCACTTGTCTGCCACGACGGGGCCTTTCCCAATCGGGAGGGTCTTGACGCTTCAATAACAAACCTGAATTCGATGGTAACAGAGATTCTCCGAGGCTAAACTGCTAACTCAGCGAGTCCCAAGAGAAGAACAGGGCCAGTTCTTGTCGGCAAAAGTCGCCTTTGCCATGATGCCACCAAACCATACGATTTACCCAGAGCAGCAACAATAGCCTGAATACAAAGTTTAGCATGAAGTCCTTCCCCATGTTCGTGGCCCGACAATGCGGGGAGATCCTGCAAACAGGTCATGACGTGGGTATATATGATGAAGAAGAGGGCTGGTACTCCATAGTTCTTTGCGATGGCATAGCTGGAAAGAATCGGCAATAATGAGAGGTTCGGATCTCTTTCAATTGACCCTGGCTCTTTTACTGTCCTTGGTCGCAGCCGAGGATGGGTACGATGGTTGGCTCCGATATGCTCCCGTGTCCTGCGATCTGCATTGTCGACAGGCTTTGCCGTCTCATATTTTGTTGTTGAACAGCACCAAAGGAAGCCCGATCGAGACTGCAGGACGAGAATTGAAAGCAGGATTCCAATCGATTCTTTCGACTAACTTGACATCTCATCCATTTCAATGCGATAGCTCCGCATCAATTCTGGTGGCTACCCTGGATGAGTACCGTCAAAAATGCCGGGACATCAACGTGCCCGAGCTTGATCCCGATGGCTTCTGGTTACAATCCGAAGGGGACACAGTTCGCATCTTAGGCAACAATGCCAGAGGAGCCTTGTACGGAGCATACGAATACCTCGCTATGGTGGCACAACGAAACTTCTCTCGTGTCGCGTACACCACCAACCCACATGCGCCGATCCGTTGGGTAAATCAATGGGACAACATGGACGGAAGCATTGAACGAGGCTACGGTGGCGCGTCGATATTCTTCAAAGATGGGACGGTGGTGGAAGACATGGCTCCTGTTGAGCAATATGCTAGACTGCTCGCATCTATCCGGATAAACGCAATTGTCGTTAATAATGTCAATGCGAACGCAACACTACTGCTACCCGAAAATATGAAAGGCCTGGGTCGCATAGCAGATGCCTGTCGACCATACGGCGTTCAAATTGGCATATCGCTGAACTTTGCTTCACCAGAAGACTTGGGCGGCCTAGAAACTTATGATCCGCTCGATCCTGGTGTCATTACATGGTGGCAGAATATCACCGATAGCCTCTATACCTATGTACCAGACATGGCTGGGTACCTCGTCAAAGCAGACTCAGAGGGCCAGCCAGGTCCAGATACATATAATCGTACACTCTCACAAGGGGCGAATCTTTTCGCCCGTGCCCTGCAACCTCATGGGGGTGTGCTTATGTACCGCGCCTTCGTCTACAACGACAACTTGAACGAATCGGACTGGAAGGCTGATCGTGCGAAGGCAGCAGTGGAATACTTCAAGGACCTGGACGGTCAGTTCGACGAGAACGTCGTGGTACAGATAAAGTACGGCCCAATCGACTTTCAAGTACGCGAGCCTACCTCACCCCTTTTCGCCAACCTCTACCAAACCAACACAGCCATAGAGTTGGAGGTTAGTCAGGAGTACCTGGGGCAGCAATGTCATTTGGTGTACCTACCTCCGCTCTGGAAGACGGTCCTGGATTTCGACTTACGCGTAGATCACAAGCCTTCGATAGTCCGTGATATCATATCCGGACAGCGCTTCAACAGAACGCTCGGGGGCTGGGCAGCTGTCGTTAATGTGGGCACTAACAGAACATGGCTGGGTAGCCACCTTGCTATGTCCAATCTGTACGCTTATGGTCGTTTGGCCTGGAGTCCGACAGACGATTCTGAACAGATCCTCAAAGACTGGACTCGCCTCACTTTTGGACATAATCACCATGTCATCGACACTATTGCTGATATGTCCATGACCTCCTGGCCTGCCTATGAAAACTATACAGGAAACCTGGGCATACAGACCCTGACAGATATTTTGTATACTCACTACGGCCCAAACCCGGCTACACAGGATAACAATGGCTGGGGTCAATGGACACGTGCTGATCACAATTCAGTTGGAATGGACCGAACAATATCGAATGGCACTGGGTATACCGGCCAATATCCGGAGGAGGTTGCTCGTTTATACGAGTCACTAGAAACTACGCCAGATGATCTCGTCTTGTGGTTTCACCATGTACCATGGACTCATCGTTTGCATTCCGGGTTGACAGTTATTCAGCATTTCTACAACGCTCACTATGCTGGCTCAGAAGCTGCACACGGATTTATAAGACAATGGGAGTCTTTAAAAGGGTTAATTGATCGGGAGCGATACGAGGCCATGCGGTCACGCCTTGTCTACCAGGCGGGACACTCCATTGTCTGGCGCGATGCTATCAACAACTTCTACTACAACATGACCGGAATTCCAGATGTGGCTGGCCGTGTGGGTCATCATCCGTGGCGCATTGAAGCTGAGAGTATGAGATTGGACGGATACCAGACGTACACTGTCAGTCCGTTCGAGGCCGCTTCTAACACTACGGCAATTATTACCACTTCTAATTCAACGACTGGGACAGCAAAAACTACCATCAAAGCCCCTTCGGGAGTATATGATATACGGGTGAACTACTACGATCTCTATGGCGGTCAATCCAAGTGGACATTATCTGTGGGTGACAAGGTAGTGGGTCAATGGCTTGGGGATATGGAGCATCAATCCCTAGGCCATACACCATCTATATACTTGGACGGCCACTCGGCCACCCGGATAACGTTTCATGGGGTCTTCGTCCGGCAGGGTGATCAGCTGAAAATTGTTGGTGAGGCGAATGGGATCGAGCCTGCTCCAGTGGATTATGTAGTTCTGCTACCGCCAGGGGTGGTTGACTGATATCTACAAGGTCTTATGCGCTATGTAATTGCCGAATGTATATACGGATGAAACTTTTAGTGACGTTCTATATCATTGGCGTTCCAGACAAGATTTATACACTTGGTTCTCCCGCTGCAAGCTATCAGACGTGGCCTAAACAAAAAAGAAAAGTTCATTTGAATTGTATTAGAGATCGCCTAAAATGCGATATTGGCCTTCATTTCAATTTGCATCGCGGTAGATTTGGTCAGAATACACCATTTACCGCCTTTATCCCTGGCACACCCCATGTCAAGTACTATCCGCGCCCCACGGTCCTAGTACTCGGTCATCTATTATACCGACGTGATCATGAGGTTTCCCCGCATCAAGCATTAGCCCAGTTTGATGTCGACATACCGGTTAAACTGACGTCTGATCGCAGGTCCTCCGCATTCCCCGCCCTGGGGATTGCTGATCAACAATGTGGCCAGAAGCCGACCTCATAGCCGACCGCCCGTTTTACTTCCGATCAGAGGTGTCAAGGACAGCCAGGTATAAAGATGCGCGAAGGTGGATTGGCTTTGAGGGTAATGTGAAGCTGTACCGAGCCACTAGGCTGCATCTCAAACTACGATGAAGGCCTCCTTTTTGCTTTCTGTCGGTCTGGCTGCGAAGGCTTGCTTGGGCCTTGTTACCGCCCCAAAATATGTTCGCCAGGACAATACCACAGCTTCTTCTCTGCAAGACATTGTGACGTGGGATGAGTACTCCATTCGGGTTCACGGAGAGCGCGTTCTTCTCTTATCGGGAGAGTTCCACCCCTTCCGTCTCCCATCCCCAGGACTCTGGCTTGATGTCTTCCAGAAAGTCCGCGCGCTTGGGTTCTCAGCTGTGTCCTTCTACGTCGATTGGGCCCTCCTTGAAGGTGACCGAGGGTCTATCCGGGCGGATGGAGTTTTCGCGCTCGAAGAATTCTTTCAGGCGGCTACAGAAGCCGGTTTGTATCTAACTGCTCGTCCTGGTCCTTATATCAACGCCGAACTTTCTGGGGGTGGATTTCCTGGCTGGTTGGAAAGGGTGCAAGGCCGTCTCAAGACTACAGATCAAGGCTACTTGGATGCCATCACTCCATATATGCAGGCCATAGGACGCATAATCGCGAAGGCGCAGATCACAAATGGTGGCCCGGTGATTCTATTTCAACCCGAAAACGAGTATACGGCTTGCGTGCAGGACGTAGGCTACACGCAAATCAACAACTAATCTATGCCCGACTATAACAGTTCCTGTCTTCAGAAAGATTACATGGCCTACGTGGAAGATCAGTATCGAAAGGCTGGAGTAGTTGTGCCGTTCATCGTCAATGATGCCGAACCTATGGGCAACTTCGCTCCTGGCACGGGAGTCGGCGCTGTGGATATTTACAGCTTCGATGATTATCCCATGCATTGGAGTACAGCGCGTATGTATTAGATTATTTTTATTGAGCTTTTGCTGAATATATACTTCTAGCATCCAATCCGTCGAACTGGTCATCTGTGGTGAACCCACTGCTCTCCTACAATGAAACAGTTCATGAGAAGCAGAGCCCGACCACGCCGTTTTCCATCTCAGAATTCCAAGGTGGGGTGCCTGACGGTTGGTATGATAACCTTGGGGTATATGTATCGTGCAAAGCACTCTAAGCTTATACTGTACTCTAGGGGTGGTGTTGGTGTCGACACCTCGGCCGCATACATCGGTCCTGAATTCGCACGCATCTTCTACAAGATAAATTACGGCTTTCGCACTGCTATCCAAAATCTCTACATGGTGAGTTGACTACTAGATACGCATATAGACCATCTTACTTCTTTGCTAATGAAAGATTTGTGCTTCTAGATCTTTGGGGGGACAAATTGGGGCAACCTGGGCCACCCTGGTGGTTACACCTCGTACGATGTGGGTGCTGCTATCGCCGAAGATCGCGAAGTCATCCGCGAGAAATACAGTGAATTGAAGCTACAGTTCAACTTTCTACAGGCATCTCCTGCATACCTCGAGTCACACCCCGAAAACGGGAGCTATGGAATCTACACGGACACCACATCCCTCGCAGTAACCCGGTTAGCCGGGACTCCCACCAACTTCTACGTGGTACGCCATGGAGAGTTAACATCGCAAGAGTCGACTTCATATAAGCTGCGCGTGAACACTACCGCCGGTAGCTTGACAATTCCTCAGCTGGGTGGAACACTAAGTTTGAATGGCCGAGATTCAAAAATTCATTTAGTCGACTACAACGTCGGCAACGAAAATCTGATTTATTCCTCGGCTGAGCTATTCACCTGGAAGCAGACAGGCCCCAAGTCAGTGGTTGTTCTCTATGGAGGTGAAGATGAGCTTCATGAATTTGCCGTCCCTGCAAATATAGGAAAACCAACTTTCATTGAAGGCGACGATTTGCAGATTCAGCAGATCAACTCGACCACCGTGATACAATGGGCAGTCCAACCCTCACGCCGAGTTGTGCATTTCGGCAACACCCTCGAGGTGCATCTCCTCTGGCGCAACGAGGCATACAACTACTGGGTCCTCGACCTACCCGTCCCAGGGGCCATAGGCCGACACGTCTCTCAGTCTCACGCCAACCGATCTGTCATCGTCAAGGCCGGGTATCTTCTACGAACTGCCGAACTCACTGGCAAGTCCCTCTATTTGACAGGCGATATCAACACCACCACTACCCTCGAGCTCATTTCCGCCCCTCAGCCAGTGACCAGAATTTTCTTCAACAACCAAAGCGTCCAAACCAGCGTCACATCTGGCCGTCTCACCGGCACCCTCACCTACCAAAAGCCCAACATCAGCCTACCAGACCTCACAACCCTCGACTGGCACTACCTCAACACCCTCCCAGAGGTCGACGATTCCACATACAACGACGATCTCTGGACCCCATGCACGCACACCACGACCGCAAACCCACGCAACCTAACCACCCCAACATCCCTCTACGCCAGCGACTACGGCTACAACGGTGGTTCCCTCCTCCACAGAGGCACCTTCACGGCCACCGGCAATGAGACCTCCCTCTACCTCCTCACCGAAGGAGGCTACGCCTACGGCTACTCCATCTGGCTCAACAACACATTCCTCGCCTCCTGGCCAGGAGACCCGTTGTATATGTTCTCCAACCAAAGTCACATTCCCATTCTCTCTCACTCCCGGGACCACCTACACGTTAACGATCCTAATCGATCATCTTGGCAACGACGAGAACTTCCCCGCGAACGGCGAATTCATGAAAGATCCACGTGGAATCCTAGATTACACTCTCCACGGCCGCGACGACAAATCTGCCATATCGTGGAAAATAACGGGTAACTTCGGCGGAGAGCATTATGCTGATCTAACTCGAGGTCCACTCAATGAGGGTGCCTTCTTCGCTGAGCGAAAGGGGTATCACCTCCCCGGTGCGCCGGTGGAGACGTGGACGAAGAGGTCACCGTTTGATGGACTTCCGGAGGATGAGGCGCCCGGGGTAGGATTCTTCGCGACGACATTCGACCTGAATGTTCCTGATGGGTATGATGTGCCTATTAGTGTTGTGTTTGAGAATAGTACTACAGTTGGTGATGGATCGGAGCCTGCGAGGTTTCGGTCGGAGTTGTTTGTGAATGGGTGGCAGTTTGGGAAGTATGGTATGTTAGGCATCCCCTCTTTTCTTCTTTCTTCTCTTTTCGCTGTGATTTTTATTTGAGTGGGCTAATGGATTATGTTGGTAGTCAATCACATCGGCCCGCAACTTAGCTTTCCCGTCCCAGAGGGTATCTTGAACTATAATGGGAGCAATTATCTTGCTCATACCATCTGGGCTATGGATGAGAACTCGTACAAGTTGGATGGGTTGCGGTTGCAGGCTAATGCGGTGGTGCAGAGTGGGTATCGCAAGCCAAGTCTTGTGAAGGGAGAGGTGTACAAGAAGAGAGCTGGTAGCTATTGATACTGTGGGCTGCTTCGATGTTGGTAGCGAGGGGAGGGAATTTGTGACTGCCTTTGAGATACGCACTACAAAGATTGAAAGTTCTAGCGAATTACTGGAAGTCATCTCAAGCAGACACTAACTAAATACATAAGCGCCTGACCGAACCTCTTTGTATAACCGGGTCTCAGAGATCCTCCTCTGGCTAATCTGTAGACACGCTTGTTCGCAGATCCTTCTCCTTTGAAACTGTTTCTGCAGTTTTCGGGGGTTTCGGGGTCGCGCCAAAGACACATCGCAACGTGCAAGGCGAATACAGATCAGCCACAGTCACGTTCATGAGCGTCTCTGAGCCATTCCCACTGACTACAGTGTTGGTCGCAACCATGCTATGTCTTCGGCCTAAGGCAAGGGTATAGGATCCATGGTTCCCGTATTCATAAGCTGAAGCCGAGGCGCAGCCGCGAATGACCTGATCGACTACATGCGAGAGGGTCATTTCGGGCCTCATAGTCTGCATGTAGATCCAGCCATGTAAATTGAAGGTCGCAGTGCTCTCTGGCCTTCTTTGTGGTGACACGTGAAACACGACTCCTATGGCTCTTTCGGAGGAGTCTTGTAACCTAACAGCAGCCCATGTTTCCAGGGAAGTCGAGTCGTTGGAGGTAAGTCGTAGTCTGTGATTTTCAGCGTCCCAGATACGCGATGGATAGTATTCCGTTATGCGCAGACTCATTGTTCTGAAATCATCTTGATTGATGTTGAATTGACATGTCAATTGTGGTCCTCGGTCGGGAACATTGGACTGTGATCGGATATAGAGGTCTCGAGTTATGGCTGTTGTTTCTAGTCCCAAGTCAACTCTCACTACCCGCCCCCGCGAGATATCATAATCCATATCAAAGGTGCCGTCGGATCGAGGAGTGAGAGGAAGGGCCAAGGCGCCTGTGACATCATCCTCATAATGGCAGTCCAAGAGCGCGAGGCAGCCATCCTTAGACCTGTTTTGATATATGACGGGAAGCGGGATGCGGAGGCCTCGGTTGGTCATTGTGTATGGCCCACTGTTACGCGGACGTGACCACTGGACGACATTCTTGAGGAAGCAGGATGAGGACGGAGCAAGGACGGTATACTGGCTCTCCTGCTCAATATCGCAATAGTTCCATGCGAAAATGGTGTGATCATCGGAACTCTTGATGATTTCCTCCTGAAGTCTAATAAATGCACCTTTGCCTTCGCCATAGAGGATAGGCATATGAACATCAAACAGACCGAGGAGACAATATGCTTCATCCTCTATCTTGGAAGTCCGCCTCTTAGCTGCCCATGACATCTTCTGTGCGACACATACTGATCTCAGTGAATCTTTTGTGTCTGTCGAATCTCTAAGAACGCGCTGGTCGATTCCAGTGACGGTAGAGAGGAGGGCTGTCATTGATGCTTTTGTACCAAGGAAGTTCCAACCAGACCCATAAAAGGTCAAATCCTTAGGCGCAATCAACTCCTGCAATGTCCACCCTCGGGTGAGCCAGCGGCATTTTGCAAAGGGCCCATTGATCATCGCATCGTATTTACTAGGCCTGCGTCTTCTGGCGGGTTCGACAGAGCTTCCGGCTTGCTCATTGAGCGGAATCTCACCGTAGTCGCTGGGGATGTCAGACAAGTAAACGTAGCACTTGCTTGATCGCATGTACCATTGGAACATGGAGTTGATAGTTTCAGAGATTTCCGCACTACTGCTTTTGTTGATACAGCATGTATCAACCCAAGCGTAATCCAGACCATCCCTGATCGCTTGCTGGCAGGTATACTTGATCTTGAGAAATCCTTCCTTGCCTACCACACGATCCCAGTACCTGGAGCCTGTTGACAGTGCTTGAAGATCTTGAAAGAAAATCTCATTCTTTCCCCACGTATGTGATAGAATTGCATATTCGGGGATATCACTGTCGAGGTATTCTTCCAACTGGTAAGTTCTGGCGTTGATCAGTCTCATCTTTGCGCTCAGATTTAGACCAAGGAAGATACATACAAATCTGGGATTGCACGGTCTGTTCTTCGCTATTTAGGTGGCGTGGTGATGTGTTCTAAATCTTCCAATTGGCTGCTACGTGGCAGGCAACACATCCGGGTAGGATTGTCCTGCGGAGTACATCGAGGCCCAACTGCACTGTACGTTTAGCTATGTTCCGACACTTCTCCAAGTTCCAGATGCTGTATCCTTATCTCATGATATGACACAATACAACTCGCTCTAGGGCTGTGTCATTGAGTGGACAATGAAAGACCATATTGTTGCTGGGAAGGTGCCCTTATCGTTTCTGCGTTGTCCATGGACGCCCTGGATTCGGAGAAGCCTCATCAGTGCTGAGGGATATTTCATACGTGTAGGGTCTTCCAGGACCTGGGGTTAGTTTCCCCTGGCAATTGAGGACAGGGGTACTTTGTATCGTTGACAGTCAGCAGATCTCAGGCATAGTGGCTGTAACAAGTAGACCATTTCACAACTTATCGCAACCATAGTAATAGCGAGTCTCGGAGCAGGGGTGGGGACTAACTTTGTGGAAGCATTCAAAGACAGCTCACTGATGCATATGCTCTGTCTTTCAGATACAGGCACCGAGCGCCCACTCACCATAACTATGTTCGATGAACTGGTCAGTTAATGATATCTGAGTTGGTGATGATGAGAAGACGGGAGTGGGTCAGCTGACTGACGCGTGGTAGTAGTTTCCACTGGACCACGTGTTTCCCTTTCTCCAGAGAGACCTATGAGTTCAGCATCCTATTTATCTACTTCATCTCCCAGCTCATCTCTGCGCTGGCACTGGCTACCTAGGTCTACCAAGTAAGTCTCTGTTACGGTGCCAAAATAGAGGGGGAAAGATCGTCGAATTGAAGCTAATGGCCATGAGCCCGAGAATCTAGGGTATTCTAATCCTACAACTTTATCAGCTTCTCGGTTATATATGGCTTGACCGTGCTGATTTCATGTCTTCAGCAGATTCTTTTAACTCCGCCTCGATGATGCTCTGTCCGTCACCGGGGGGTGCCCAAAACTTCACAATCCTGAAGCCAGCCGAATCCAGCACTTTCGTCCATTGACTAGCCGTTCGCTCCATGCTGTTACAGAAAATCAACATCTCCCAGTCCCACATGGCTGGCAGCATCGCACATTCCTTGTCTGCCAATACGAATTCCTCGATTATCAGTTTGGAATATCCCTTTTTCATTGCTGCTCCAAGATGGCTCAGGATCAGGCGACTTTCCTCGTCTGACCAGTCGTGAAGGATGAATTTCATGTAATAGGTGCGGGCACCTGCGGAGGCATACAGTCAGACTAGGGACAAGAAGCGTTTCAAGTGTTAACCAGCGAGTATACCTTGTATTGGCTGTGCCTGGAACAGGTCAAACGATACATGCTCAATTTTGGGGTGCTGAGTAGCCTCAGCCACGACATGAGGCAGATCTTCCAAGATGAGCCGTCCCTGCACTCCAGAGAATTTGGATTGAAAAGCAACCAAATCATGGCCGCGCCCACCGGCTACGTCTACCAAGAGGACATTACTTTCGTCCTCTTTGAATCCGTCAATAATCCTCTCCTTGACAGGAAACCATTCGAGCCAGCTAGGCCGGCTCCCGCGGTCCGCTTCCATGAAAGTATTGCAAACGTCCAAGAAACCTGGTTTGGTCGGCACCCAGTCCCACAGCGACATTTCTGTCTTCTCTGCGTACTGTAATGCACCATTCAGAGCACCAGATGGGTTTCGGAAGTTTGTCATACGCAAAAACTCGGGTACTTTAGCCAAGGTAGGCATACCTATATCGAAGCTAACGTTCTGTCAGTTTGGCCATGCCACCTATGTGACTAACTTACATGAATCTCACTACGGCCCCACTAAGCCTGTCTGTCATCTGCCTGGTCATCTTTGTGGGGATGTAGACCCGTACATCATGTTCTGCAACGTATCCAATCCCTGCAAGGATACGCAGCACCCTTTCTGTGCTCAGAATATCTTAGCAGCTGACTCATAGACGTGATTGGGATAACAGTACCAGTCAGGACTAGATCTGCCCCTTTGGTAGCTGCCAGGTCCTCCAGCGTAACTGGACCATTCCGCTCACTGAGCGTGGAGAAAATACCAAGATCCATGGCGATGCGCACACACATCACTTGAGTGGACTGGTACGGGTCAGTACTTCGTGCTCATCTTTTCTTAGAGGATATTAGTACCGAGTAAGCTAGATTATACACTGCATCTTGCGGCTTCTGAAACACCTCCACCAGCCTCTGCGCCGCATGGAGGGCAGCCAAGCGATCCGCTTCGTTGTGACTATCTTGAAAAGCATCTGCAGCCTGCGCGACCTGCCGAATCAGATCGTTGAATGGCTTTTGAGAGACGCCATTGGCGTGACAACTATTGCTAGACATGATGAAGATATGCACGGGAAGCAGCACTACAGGGAACAGGGGAGAAGGGAAGGCCTGTCCTTTTACAATGGTCGGGAGCCTTATTGTTCCGATTTAGCCAGGTACAGCTTTACGACGGCCTTTTACTCGTTATGGCAGGAGGCGCAGGACGGGGTGCACCGGGTGGACCTGTCACCTCAATCAGAGTTGGGGGTAAGCGCCCAGCTAGGCCAACATGTAGTACTTTTGGTGATCAACAGAGGCCCGCAAGACCAGACTAGAACAGCTAGCAGCGCCATCATGAAAAGAGGGTTGGATAGGACTGTAAAGGGCCGCCACCGGCTGTCAGTTCCGTCACCTAGGTGCCGTCCTCCCACGCGCCACACGCTCTGGCTGCATTAGCGCCGCGCCGGTGCCTCGCGGAAGCGCTATGGATATTCCGAGCCTTGACTTGAGCTCTGCTTCCAATCCTTCAAGATACTTGAAAGGGACAGTACGCCGTGACAGAAGTTCTGAATGCTTTCGGAGGTTCCCGGAGGTCATTGCGCATATTGGTGCTATGTTACAGGCTGCCCAAAAATTGGTCCGCACACACTGGGCTCGTCTATCTGATGCCCGGACGAAAGGCGCCTGCTGTGAAAAATGCTTTAAAAATTGAAAGTAGACAAGTTTATAATTTTAATTATAAATCTTGAAGTGGTTATTCATTAATTTATAATTGAATACTGCGAGCTATGTTACCTAGCAAAAGCACAGGCCGAAGGGAATCCCCTACAAGTGGGTCTTTTGGCATCTGGCAGTCGATCCCTTCGTATGCCCCGACGACCAAATCACGGCAAATCCCGAGACATGGCCATACCGCACGCCATGTGTTGATAGTCGATGTATCGCTCGACGGCTGAACAAAGAACCTCTTTGTGTCCGTCTAATAGTCTCGTAAATAATCAAGTATCGACTATATCGCTCGATCGGGAACACGCCTGCTCGGTACAGCTTTATATTTCAAGGACCTCCAAAGACCCCCCCCCTTGCTGGAGCAACAATGATATATTGTTAAGTCCGGCCACAATGCCTGACGACAAAGGCCCACAGATCACTGCCGTGTCCTGGAGCTTTGGAAGCGTGGCGATCATAGTCGTCGCCATTCGGTTGTACACCCGGCTAATACTGACTCGCAAAGCAGGCTGGGACGACTTCTTTATTGTTCTTTCCTTGGTAAGTTAACCCTGCAAGATCCCACCGCAAAAAATAGCGGCTAACCCAGGCGCCGCATGGATGCAGTTGAGCGCTGTTGTATGTTCAGGGTTAGCGCAAACCGGCGTGCATTATGGGCTGGGGAAACACATGGCCGATATTTCCAATGGGGAATGGAAAATCGAGGCCTTCAAATATACCGTCATCGCACCCAACTTCTCCATGGTCAGCACCACAACAGGCAAGCTATCGGTGGCCGTCTTCCTGCTGCGCTTAATGGGCCAGACAGCGTCCCTGGCAAAACGATGGTTCCTGTATATCTTCAGTGTAATATCCATTGCTTGGAATGTGCTGGCCATCATTGCCATTATGGGGTACTGCCGGCCTGCGGAGAAGATCTGGCGGCCAGAGGTTCCCGGCTCCTGCTTTAGCTTGAAGTTTCAGCTGATTGCTGGGATATCGCAAGCCTGTGAGTGCCAACACTGCCTGGTAGCTATGCGTCGAGACAATAACATCATACAGCATTCAACGCTTTCGCCGACCTTACCTTGGCCTTGTTTCCAGTCATCATTTTCTGGTCCGTCCAGCTGCCCTGGAAAATGAAGCTAGGGGTTATAGCTGTCATGGGCGCGGGAATCCTGTAAGTACCTCCAATCCAACCAAATAAACTCAACTGATCCCAGAAGGGCGGCGGCAGCAACCTTGGTCAAGGCTATTCTTCTAAAAAGCCTCCCGGTCCATTCAGACATAACCTGTAAGCACCGATGTTCCGGGCAGGCCCAGACACTCGAAGACGAAGCTTAACACGTTAAACTCCAGGGTCATGGGCCGATATTACAACATGGTACTCGTACGCCACTCACCCCTCCATGGTTCATAGTTACTAAACCACAACAAATCAAGCTAACACTATGTTTTCCGAACCACTAGGATTGAGGTAAGCAGGAACCTTCCTCTCAGCACAGCCAAGCTATCTATATACTTTTATCATGCGCTAAGTGGCGCCCATGCAATCCATCAACAGATGTACGTTATCATAATCTGCGCCACTCTCCCTACCCTCCGACAATCATACAACTTTGCCTTGCATCGAACACGCTACGCAGGTTCATACTACAAACGCTCCCACTCCGAAGCAGCAGCAGCAAGACAGAAACCAATTCCTCTCGCTCGTCGTCAACCCGATCAGTCACTTTTCGATACATTCGCTGATGAGACCGGCTTGGTGAATGTAGCTTCCAACGAAGATAGTTTTGTCTCCCCCGGAAGATGTTCGGACCATACGATCATCACTAAGACTACCGAGATTGAGGTCCACGAGGAAAATAAGTCCAGACGGGATATCGAGAATCCTCATTTCCCGCGTACGAATCCGTTTAGGACGCATCAGTAGCATAGGACGGAGGGATGATCCGACGATGACGGTTTGTATGTTAGCTAGGTTAATGAGATCGAGGTATCGCATGTACGATAGCAGTAGTGATGAAACTATTGCTCGTTTCTACTGTGTTCAGGAATAAAATTCTAACGAGAGACAAGGATATAAAAAGAGGATATTAATGCGACCGCAAATTTGAAGGATAATCACTGATTGATCACCATTCCAACGCCCAACCCAATCTTATCAACGAAAATCGATTCTCTTCGTTTTATCTACGTCAAAGTCAGCCGACATCGGCTATTCGTCTTCTATTTTCACTCCTCCCAACACAGTCAGCCTGCCTTCACAATCATTATCACAAACCTTACAGCAAACTACAAAGGCAAAACCTCCTACTTAAGTCCCAGGCCCATGGCATGTGCCCCTACGGCAACCTGTCCAATAATATCTTCATCCCTCGTTACCAAGCCCACATTCAAGTCGAAGGGAAAACGTGAAAGTGTCAGCGAAAGCGAAAGCGAACGCAACGGTCAGAATGTCGTTACAGCCACCGACGCGAACGTCGAGCCGCAAGAGATGAGAAACGAGAAAGAGCCTCCTCAGGAGTACGCTCATAGTCGATCTCTAAAGTCTATCCCAGGTGGTGGGGCTTATGTGCCGATGAGTGGCTATTTCATGCCGGGCAACTTGCTCGGGGATCAGAATGGGTTGAGAGCACCAGAAATAATTGCTGAAGGGCCAGCGGTGCCGGCTGGGAAAATGGGAGAAGGAGATGATACCGGGGCCGTATCATCGGCTGTGGATACTTCGACGTTGAAGTTGAATCAAGTGCCTGGGAATAGACGGAAAATTGGTTGGGCATTGTCGCTTCCTGTTGGGACGGCCGCGCATACTGCTGAACATGGTCTCCTTACTGAACGGTCTTCTGGGGTTAGTGTGTCCTTCGGAGCTAAGGAGGATTTCGCTTTTCAGGGTACATTTGGAGATCATGCAGGTGGCGGTCATGCTGTGAGTGATGGTAATCATGAAGATGGAGAACCGTTGGAAAATGATAGCATGGCTGACCAATATGGGGAGTCCGAAGGTCCCAGGTTTAGTCAAGTTGACTATTTCACCCAACACAAAAGCTTAGAAATCCGGACAGATGGGCTTCCCAGGAGACCACGGTATTGTGCGGCCACTGTTGGAATTCCGTGTCGGGATACCGTATGGGCCTTTATTAATAGGGTTGATTCCGATCATGGATTGCCAACGGCAACAGACTTACCTTGGGAGATCCGAACACTCCATAAGACAGACGAGTTGAACACAATAGCGGCCTATCTTGCTAGCATGCGACGAAACCTGAAAGACCTAGACGTCAACTTTACTTTTCACTATCGCCCGGTGTCTTTCATTGACAAGGCAGATCGTGATAAGAAAATTGGGGGTTACACCTCCTCCGACAAGCACAACGCACACACCGTCGCAGACCTGTATATGCATACAAAGGACGATAAGAGTTGGGGCACGCTCTGTGTTACGAGAGAGCACCATGTCCAAGGACTAGCCTGGCATTATTGGGCAGTTGCTGCTATCTCGCCACCCAAGTCGCCGTTCCAGTCAGTAGATGAGAGAGGGATATATCTTCTCATGTATGATTCAAGGCCGCTCAAGGAACCGACCAAAAAGCGCGATCGGGATTTTTGGAGGAACTATATGCGCCGTGATCAGTACAAACTACTAGTTGAGATAGGGAAGACTTTCAAGATCCTTGATCTCGCAATCAATCGGAAACAGCTCTCGGTGGAGGGTGAAGACGATCCCCTGCGTCTGACCCTGTGGTGGCTTTGGAACATTGCTCGATACGGCGGGGGCTTTTATGAGAGAGACGGCGAGCTGGAAGACCCACGCTGGAGGTTGACAGATGCCAGATGGCTCCATTTCGATCAAGATTGGTCAAGCAATGTGCGAACAACACTGCGGTGGAAGAATGTTAAAGAATGGTTCTCAGAGCAACGACTGGATGAGCACATAATCCACGAACAGCAAGTCCAAGGACACAGGATAGCTGCATAGGAGCATAGACTCGGTAATGAGACATAGCAAGAATGCAAATGGTCCTTTTCTGTTACGCTGCAAATCTCACATTGAGCATTGGCAACGTGGTGATGTAGGCGGCTCAGTTTGACGAGCCTCGTGACCCAACAAGGCCGTCAATACGCAAGACAGAGATGGAGGAATCTAAGAGTGTCAGACACTTACGGCCGAAATAGTCTGGTTCCGGACCCGGCCGTCTGGTTACGCCAGATGTAGTAGCGGAGCCGAGATGAAGCGGAGTCGTTTGAGTCGTCCCTGGGGTACCGGGGGATATACTGGAAGAGGAACAGGATGACCTACAACGGATCAGAGATCGAAGTAAAAGACCAATCATGATACTTCTCATCGGCGGCAATCCGCGATATGGCCGAGTCAATCTGGCCTCCGGTCTTTCAACTTCAGCGGAAGATGCCCGGGTGTTCGTTTTTGACTTTCGGAGTGCGGCAAATTGTTGATTGGGGTAGTCGCCACTGCCGCGGACACGTTGACATCACTGCAAATTCGGCCGAAGAGGGTTCCTGCGTTCCTACAGCGGGCCGATTAAATAGATTTACCCGACCGTGATTGTTAGGAGACGCCGCGAGAATGAAGAAGAAAGTATATAGTCCTGTATACAGGACGTTAAGCCCCGTTACATTGCTAGAATAAAACTCATACCAACCCAGATGAATGTGTCGATGCAAGCACAGCTTTCTGCATCCCATCAGCCTCCATGACACCACTCAATCATTGGGGCATCACCCTCGTTGTTGTCCCCATTGTGGCATGTGTTGTGACAACCCTCTTCTTCATTCTCCGGTTGTATTCTCGGCGACTTGTCCGTCAGAAATTTGACCTCGGTGATATGTTGATGGGCATAGGGCTTGTCTTCTCATACGGGCTAACCCTCTGTACTGTGATATGTTAGTTACATCATAACCCCAGTTCCATTGTAAATTAGCTTACATGTAATCTAGCGGCATTCAACGGCGTTGGCCACGATTTCTGGTCCCTCTCCAGGCCTACCAGAGGAACAGTCACCTTGGTGAGTATACCCACCTCCCGCTTTACGGTCAAGTTCTAACCAAATGAACTAGCTCTTCTGGTGCTCAACGAAATTCTGGGTATTAGGCCACGTCTTCGTGAAGATTTCCTATCTCGTTCTGCTCCGCAAGCTTTTCGGAGCCATCACATATTGGCGGAAGCTTACCACTGCATTGATCGTGTTCACGCTTGCCTGGGGCATTGCTTCCCTGCTTGTCAGCATCTTCCAATGCTGGCCTGTGCGTTATTTCTGGATCAAACATATTGATGGCAGCTGCATGCGTGGGCGAAATACATTTTACATCATAGCTGGGTCAATTGCGCTGGCTGAGAACTTCGTATTGATCTTGGTGCCCTTGATTGTGGTTTGGGGAATGAAACTGACGCCCCGACAGAAGGTGGAATTAAGTCTTCTTTTTGGCTTTGGTGGATTGTATGTTTCCTGCTACGCAAATTGTTAAACTGGTTGACTGTAATACTGACAATGACAAAAGGGTCTGTGCCGTCGGGTTTCTGCGTATGATCACGTTCAAGAGATACGTGACGGCAGATGCTACCAGTATGCCAACCCATCGACCCCCTGGGTCAAACGATGAAAATTGCTAATGCCTCCCAGCAAACGGATACCTCCAGTCCATATGGTCCATTGTCGAACTTGATTTGGGAATCATATGTGCTTCGGTGATATTGATGCGCCCGATATTCCACCGCGTCACAAAGACATTCAAGATAAAATGTTGCGCCATGCGGGCCCAGACATCCGATTCCAGCGCCTCTTCAAAACGCGCGCAGATGATGAGGTCATTGTCATGGCCGAGGCCGCTGTCCTTTGCAGAAACGGGATCAGTGGATGAGTGGTCGCAAGTGCGAGCTTCAGCATACAGTACGCGTGTGCGTGGTAGTGTGGATGAAACTCCCAGCTTAGCTGGGGTCCGGGACATAATGGTTGAAGTGTCGATTGATCGCGAGATGAGAGCGAAAGAGGAGATGGTGTAGCACATGGCTTACACCGTGTCAGCTGATCCCTGGCAGACCCCATGCAGTCATTACCTTCTAGTATACTACTTAGTACTTAATCATTCTACTATATTTTCTATAGGGATTCAAATGGGCAGGAGTCCGCCCTACACCCTGCCCAAGATGAGACTGACTTCGGCAAGTGAAAGACTGATTGGTATATAATAGTATGACTGGCAGTACTGAAGGAAGGTATCCGGTTGATTGAGAAGTTGTGCTACCACTCCTCATTCAACCCCGCGGTTACGTGCATTTTCTTCCGTGGACAACCACCACATCAGCTCCACACCATCCGAGGTTATTCAGCACATGTCATTTGTGTTCCTTGATCACTGACGTATTATCCTTTTTCATCTAGGAATACGCTGAATACGATATCTGCCCTTCCAAGATGCGGCGTCTCATAGGCCACCGCGGTTTCAACCAGCGTATTGCGGATAGACAAGATGCTCGTATGATCTCGGATTTATCTCTCCGGCAAGGGTTATCGGACTTGCTGCACATAATCCCCATTTGTTCCACCCTGACTAGCTCATCAATTCGAGTGATCGACCTTAGTGATCGGCACCCCGCGCTCCCCATCCTCGGTCCGCGTTACCGTTCAAGATAGTGGCATATGAACTCGTTACGACGGGTGCAACTATAGAGGATGTATACCACAGGCATTGAGCTGCTGACCATAGGAAAGAATGTATGGGACAATGATGATACACAGGGATGTGATTTCTGTCTTCGTGCGGTTGTAGTATATAATGGGCACCACAGACCGACGGACCTTCCTAGTGGAGCATCTCAACTTCATCATAGATCTATTCAACCATCCCAGGATTTTGAATCCATCATCAAGTCTCCGCACCAGTGATCATCATCATCATCATCATCATGCCCCTTACAACCGCCTTTTCCCTTACCACTCTCACATCTTCAATCCATCAACTACCAGTCTCGCTTCCCATCACCCTCACACTCGCCTTCCTCGCCTACCTTCTCCTCGTCTCCACTCTTCGCTTCCAGCGCGTTCGCAATCTCTACCGCGACTACCCACAGTATGCAAACCGTGCGTCTATGTCTCAAATGACCGTCCATGATGCGTGGGCCATACAAAAGAACATAATGCAACTCGAGTTCCCTACAACTGCAGTGAAAGCCCTTCAGTTTGCACTCTTTCGGGTAACTGTTCCTCCTTACCTCCCCTCGTCATGGAATCCTACTAATCACATGTGATCTCCCATCCCAGACATACGGCATCCCGACCATCTCTTCCCTCCTTCTGCATACTTCCCAGCTTTCAGACCCTGCCACATCCTTCAAGCGCTATGCAGATACGGGTGCCCTTATCGGTCAGTTCGTGACATGCCCTCCTACTTCCTCTCGTGCGCGCACTGCCATTGCCCGAACCAAATTCCTACACTCCGGATACCGTGCCAGCGGTAGAATCCTCGAGTCTGACATGCTCTATACTCTGAGCCTATTCGCCACAGAACCCATCCGCTTTGTGGAGCGGTTCGAGTGGAGGACAATGACGGAGTTGGAACAGTATGCTATTGGAACTTACTGGAAGAGCCTGGGAGATGCGGTGGATATCAGCTATCATGCGTTACCGTCGGGAAAAAGCGGGTTCAGAGATGGCCTGCATTTCTTGGAAGAGCTCCGGCAGTGGAGTGACCATTATGAAGAAGAGAACATGAGACCCGACCACCGGAACAGACTGGTCGCGAACAAGACGATGGATGTCATTGTTTACGGATTTCCCGAGTGGGTGAGAGGCGTCGCTGTCGGCTTTGCCACCTGTGTGATGGACAATAGATTGCGGGAAGCAATGATGTGAGCTTTTCTTGCATAACACATTCTTTATGATGGCTTATGCCGAGAACCATGTGCTGATAAATTAGGTACGAGGCGCCACCTATGCGGTATCGGAGGATTTTTACGGGGCTAGTAGCCCTACGGAAGTATTTTCTGCGATACCTTGGGCTTCCTCGGCCGATGGTTCTCCGACAAGAAGTTTTCAGCGATACTTCTAATGAAGACGGTCGGTATTATGTTCGAGTTTGGAAAGGAATGCCGTACTACGTGCAGCCAACCGTTTGGAACCGCTGGGGTCCAGCGGCGTGGTTGACGTGGGCCCTAGGCCTTCCACTTCCCGGCGATGATGGCGAAACTTACTACCCCGGGGGCTTTGATGTAGCCAATTTGGGACCGAGGTACTTCGAAGGAAAGGGACGAAAGTCCGTGGGTGAGTTTGTAGAAGTATTGGAAAAGGAACACAGGGGACAGTGTCCCTTTGGCAGTAACAAGTAACCAGCCAGAGGTATATTTTCGTGGGCCAGTTCTAGAATGAACACGGCCTAAGATGACTTTGCTAGAACGAATATTATCTGGATCGAATACACTGCCTATCTCGCGCAAGCAAATCATTGTGTCGTCAGCGTGGGTCTAACCGTTGCGAACCATGGTTCTCCCAGAGTGTCAGGATATCGGCGAGCCTTGACATCAGAAACCTTCCCGCCACACCCGTGAAGTCCAGAACGCCGTGGGCGTCGCTTTATATACTGGTTGGCTGTCCTCGTGGCTGTCTCGATTAAGCAGTAACAACCATTGTCCGTCATGTCTTCCATTTCGGCACCGCCAACTCCTCCGCCTGAGCGCCGGTCGCCAGAGGGGATGGATGCGTGGATTCTAGGGGCTGGCATTTCTTCTCTGACTGCAGCTGTACACCTCATTCAGGAAGCGCATGTGCCTCCATCTCGTGTTCACATCCTTGAAACCCTCAGTCAAGCTGGCGGCGGGACTATCAGTACGGGCGACCCGATCAATGGATATGATTGCCGGGCAGGAGGGGTGCCTCCATTCAACGACGCCTGTATGGAAGAACTTCTCTCCCTGGTTCCCTCTAGGACAAAGTCAAACCAGACCGTCCTCGAAGACCTTGACGAGTTCTGGGCCACCGAAGCCATTAAAGATCGTCCTCATACTCGCTTCCTCACCCGTCATAAACATAGTCTTGAACGCATTGACGCCAAACGAGCGAGTTTGGGACTGCGCGACCGCGTGGACCTCTTTATGCTGGTTTCAAAATCGGACAAGTCCCTGGGCCGCTCGCGCATCTGCGACCATTTCAGCAATAGCTTCTTCAAAAGCTGCTACTGGATGCTACTTTCCACGACGTGAGTCGTACCTCTGTATCATCTATTGCTCATCCCTAACAACCTCCTAGCTTTGGCATAAAGCCTGTCCATAGTGCAGCCGAGTTCCGGCGCTACCTTCAACACTACATGCACAGCATTCACGAGATCCACCTTCGCCGGAAGCTAGATGGTGGCCGTTTCAACCGGCACGAGTCTATCGTCGCACCGGTCGCTCAATTCCTGCGGTCCCGGGGCGTAGACTTCCGCTTTCACACGACAGTCACTGATATCATCACTACCCCTTCAAGCAGCGATCCACACCGGGTATCAGCCATCAAAGCCATACATGAAGATAAGCCCGAGCAGACGATAAACCTGGGGCCGCGGGACATCGTGCTGGTGTCACTAGGCTCGGTTATGTCCGGCTCCACAACGGGCACCAATACGTCCCCACCATCCCTGGAACTAATGGAGATCGAGAAAGACTTGGACGAGAACTGGCTTCTGTGGCTGGAGCTATCCACTAAGAACCCTATCTTCGGGAACGCATACAACTTCTGCACACGCATGGGAGAGTCCCGCCTGGAATCCTTTACCGTCACCTTTTCCTCCCCCGAGTTCTTCAACCGTTTTACCGCCCTCACCGGCGACAAAGTAGGAAGCGGCACTTTCGTCACCCTCAAAGACACTCCCTGGCTCCTCAGCATCAATCTCCCCCAGCAGCCTCTATTCCCCGATCAACCTGCGCACGTGCAGGTGCTCTGGGGCTACGCAATGTACCCCGAGCGGGAGGGCGACTACGTCAAGAAACCCATGCTTGAATGCTCGGGACAAGAAATCATGGAAGAGATATTAAATCAACTGAATTTCCCTGTGCAGGGGATCCTAGGCCACTCGATTACCCTACCCTGCGTGGTTCCACGAGCAGCGGCAACCCTGTTGCCCCGCTTGCGCGGCGATCGACCACAAGTGATACCCCCGGGGATCGACAATCTCGGACTCATTGGCCAATTCGTGGACATCCCGGGAGAGGTGGCCGTGACGATGGATTACAGTGTGCGGTCAGCACAGACGGCGGTCCGCCAGCTAATGGGGCTGGAAACGCACAAGACAGTATCCAAGCGAAGTTCCGCGATCAATCTGCGGGCTTTGTAGATTGTCTACTAACTGACGTACTTCTCGTTGGTTCTTACTTGTTTCAACACCTCGCAAATGGGCCTGGGTTTATGATTCATGCATTGTTTATACCATTTTGTCATGCGCTGAAACTACTACAGCTCTACGTTCAGTCAGTTTACCAGAACTCCCTCCGTTGGATTCAACAGTCTCTTCGCGGGGATATATCAGGGCGCCTAAACCATTTTCTGATGCAGCTCTGAACCAGACAAAAAGCACTATTACCTTTTCTGTACAGCATGTTTGGAAGTTAGCCTGTTCCTTGTTTACGATGTTTCAAATTAGCCTTTATTATCAATCAATTTAGATTGTGCGTTTCGAATTTTTCAGGCCATTGTTCAGGACGGCGGATTCAGTAACGGGTAGGAGTAGTTGTTCCGGGAATCTAGGATAGCGTCGCCACCCTGCGTACACCTTCTCCTTTTACATGAGTGAAAACATGGAGGTGGGTTTGGTGTTAAGGTGGTGATGAGGAAGGTACGTGTCCAGGGATAGCTTTCATAGTCTGTTCCACCCATAAAGGAACGGGAAACGATGACGGATAATAAGTAGCTTTGATAGTGAGGACTTTATCTTTCTGACTCAATTTTGAATGCATCTATCTAGGATACCAACCAGAGACTATTTGATGGGTAGTTAGATGGGTCTTTCAAGAATTATGTAGTGGTAGAAGTTATACAAATTTCCTTCCGATACAGAAGTCAAATCGATATGAAAACCAAGATAAGCTGATACCAACAATGATGTAGGGCGCAATATAATGCCAATTCGTGATAATAAAAAGTGGTGAGTATACCGGTAAAAGTCGTATCTACCGTGCCAATAACAAACCCAGAATATAT